AAAATATCCCTTTGAAACAACTTGCCTTCAATTCACAAGGCAAGGGTTACCTGCATGTAAGCTTCGATTACACAAATGACCCCTTACAAGCTGGATTTTGGTGCACATGGCAATAACCTCCTGCAGCTTTCCTTCGATTCAGAAGACAAGCGCCTTCTCTGCGCTTGCCTTCAATTCACAAGGCAGGAACTTCCTTCATGCCAGTAGGCACAAGGAAATGGACTCCTGCAGCTTTCCTTTGATTCAGAAGCCAATGGCCTTCTGAAATATTTCCTTCAATTCACAAGGCAAGGGTTACCTGCATGTAAGCTTAGATTCCACCCTTGAAAACCTTCAACACACATAGTTTCTACACTATGACATGCCTGGGTGTCCCATTCGAAGGACATGCATTGACATACCTGGGTGCCCCTTTCAAAAGATACACAACTGGCGCATTCGAAGGACATGCACATGGTCCATTCAAAGGACATACATTTTCCCCATTCGAAGGACATGTATTGATGGATATAAAGGGGCATACGAGGGTGTTCCATTCGAAGGATATACCTTGTTGGCCCATTTGAAGAAATTGTAAGTGATGCACACAGGTGATGCATGTGGACCCTTCAAAAGAACACACATATTGGTTCAAAATGAAGGATACACAAAGGGCCCATTTGAAGGACACTTTGATTGGAAACAAACATTGCTGTCTGAAGAGGAGTCTGGTTAAAGGATGGATCCAGTTGGTCAAAACGAAGGAGAAATATTCAAAGATGCTTGCTGGCCAGAGTCCTATGTGCTGTAAGTCCAAGCCTGCTACACTGGCCACAACGCTCCAAAACTGCTGCACAACAGTCCTACTACACTGCTTCTATATTTGCACCGATTTGGCATACAAAAACTGCACCTCGAAAACTACAAGAAAAGCATACCCAATTTGTTAAAATTTCTTTTGTTTTCCCTCCTAAATCTCAACCAACTTCATCTATAAATAAGAGGTTCCATAACACATCTAAGGGGGCTGGACAACACATCCAGATGGTTTTGATAGTTGGAGAAACTTTAATTATGTGAAAATCATCAAACACTTAACACATTCTCAAACCCATAATCAAAAGACCACACCCTTGTTTCTGTTCCTTTCGAATCCAACACTAGAAACACAACACCTGTTTCTTTTCCCTTTCAAATCCAGGAGCAACCCCACACTCTGTTCTTCCTTTCGAATCCAACAAAAGAAATACTACACTCGTTCTTTTCCTTCGAATCCAGAAACAACAAATATAACTCCACTCTTCTTGGCCTTCGAATCCAGTCAAAGAAACACCACACTTGTTTCTTTCCTTCAAATCCAGGAGCACTCAGGGTAGCCACTCAAGGTCCAGCACACATTCCAGATTCAAGCAAGGTAAGTCACTCTGACCTTAACCCTTTCGTTTCAAGCATGTAAATGACATTTGCTTACTTTTCGTTTATTTTTCTTGTCCAAATATATGGTAGAACTAACCTGTACAGACTCAAAGGAAAGAAAACGTTTCCTGTGAATCGAAGCCTTAAGCTACACCCCTTACTGCTTTACAGTGGCAAAACAAATGAAAGGATAGGGAGTGTGAATCGAAGGATACACTCACACCGACTTCTAGGCCAATGGAAAGAAGCATAAAAAGGGTGAATCGAAGGGTGCATCTCACGCTGACTTCCAGGCCCAGATCGAAAGAAGCCAAGAAGAGTTGAATCGAAGGGCGCTACTGCCTGGATCGAAGAACTTAGTTTTTCCTTATTTTATTTTGTTTTGTTTTGTTTTTATATTTTTTTGCTGTTCAATATGGTTGTAATAGCGTATGACCTTATTTTCTACATTTTTATTGCTTTCATATAAATGTTAGTAATTATGATGTATGGCAAGATAAAACCAACAAGTAGACTACCCTAATCAAAGACAAAAATGCATGCAATCAAACACATCATTCACACACATGCACCTCTAGGGTAATCTCACTCGTTGCCTCGGAAAATAGTCATGTCCCTCGAATATGGGCGTTTTAGCAAAGACCCTCGATAAAAAGATCGTAGTCCCTTGATGATCCTCGATGTTGCCTTATATGACTATACAATGACCCACGCCCGTCCCTTTACATCCAACGATGGGGCTTCTTATCAATCAATGGTAAGATAACAACATCTAAAGGAGGAGGAAAAGAACAAAGACCTTTCGAGTAGGTAGGACGCTCGTAGTTGCTTGCTTGCTCACAACTAAAAAACCATTTTCACACCAACACTTTCAATTGAAACATTTTCAAAAGTCAAAGCACTTTGTACGCATTCTTATAGAGACGAGAATTATTACAAAGGCACTTTTCAAAATCACTTTCAAAAACATATTCCACAACAAATATCTCTTTGAACAATTTTCAAAACCAACACTTTGTACAAATTCTTATAGAGACGAGAATCATTACAAAGACGTTTTCAAAATATTTTCAAACCCACACCACAAAGTACATTTTCAAACAAAGTAAGTTATCTAGCAAGCAACTAAGATCCCGTAGATAACTACAGATGAAAAGGGTGCTAATACCTTCTCTTTTCATAACCTACCCCCCGAACTCAAGAAATAATCTCTAAAGGTCTTTCCTGTTCTTTTCGACCTTTCCTTTGTTAGATAAAAGAAAAGTCGGTGGTGACTCTTGCTATCCGCAACAATTGCGATCAAATGCAAAATAACCAAGTCAGTTCTCTCACCGTATTACAATATCATTAACAAATATGGATGTAATTCAAACAAATCATTAACAAATAAGGGTGCAATACATACAACCCATTAAGAAAGAGGGATGGAAAAAAAGTTACAAACATATAGGGACAAAAATAAAAAATATCAAATATTCAGATTCATTCAATAATGCAGCCTTACATGGATGAAATTCAACAACCATCATTCTTCTAGGGACTAAAACAAACAAAAATTACAGACACCATGAACATGAAATTCACTACCATTTCTGGTAAGCAAATATTATACACCATGAAAAAGACAACAAAAACTTCAACAGTTTGGCCTTCTTTCTTTTGTTTTCCAACTTCAATTTCATCTTCTCTTTTTTCCTAGCTTCAAAATATTTAATGATGCAACCTAATTCCTGAACTACCTCTGAGAAATTGCATCTGATTGAATTTTTGGGTTGAGTTGATATGCTGCGTTCAAATTCATCATCCCATATAAATAGCTTGCAACCAAATCTGAAATTTTAACATTTCCAGAATCTTCCTTTAGGGGTTTCAATTGAATTTGAGATGAACATCCTCATTACTCTATTGCAACCACAAACTGAGATTTGAGACTCAAAATAATTACATACAAATGATGTGCCATGGTTGAATCTCAAAGACAATTTGAAGAGACAATTAGAAGAGAGAAAGAAGAGAGGAAGAAGAATGGAAGAAACTTGAACCTGATATAAAATTGCGTATTTTTTGGATTTGGTCCTCCTTTTTAAGGCCCTTCCACTAGGTTTTCCACATATTAACCGTATAAAAATATAAAATATTTTCACATGTGCGTTGTTAGCCAAATCAATTTTTTAATAGAATTCTAATCCTAGGACGAACGCCAACAATAATATGAAATATAGGGAGCTTAGACAAAAAAAACATATATGGACCAAAATTAAAAACTCGTTAACTTACAGAGACAAAAGAAAACTATTTAAGCCTTTAATTTATTATAATATTTTTTATATACGAGACAAATACCATTATAAAATACAATCAATCATGCATATAAAAAATGAGAAAAAGTATCATGATAGTATTTTTATTATTATTTTAACTTTTTGATATATTTTCCTATTTTTCTTTAAAATTACTTTGATTAATAAAATATTAAAACTTATTTAATATTGTTCAAAGTTTGGTTAATATATATTCTGACATAAAAAAATTAATATGTATACTATTCAAACTTTGGTTAATAGTTTGTATAAAGTTGGTCAATAGAGTTTATAACTTCATTAATGAGTTTTCAAATATAAAAAAATTAAATAGTAAAATAAAATTAGTTAATAGAATATAAAAATTGACTAAGACATTTATAATTTAGTGTTAGAACATTGGTTAATACTTATATTTTATTAGTTAATAAAATTGAAAGTGATTAATAAATTATAAATAAAATAATTGAATAATAACGTACATTTTTATAGTTAATATAATTGTGAAGTTGATTAATGACACAATCATATATTTCTGTTATAAAATAAGTTTTTAAAAAAATATATTTTTAAAAAATAATAATATTTAATAAAAATATATTATTTACTATATAAATACGATAAATAATATATATAGTATAAATATTTAATGTAAAAGTTGGTGTCTAAGTAGCATACCTTGATAAAAAATATATAACCATCACTAAAAAAACAATTAAATAGAATATAAGAAATAAATATCTAATAATATTATTTATTTATTAGGTTTAATAGATATTATGTATTCAGTGTCATCAAATAAAAAATCATCAATCTAAAAAAATAATTTAATTAAATTCATGATAATAATTAATTAATGTAAAAATATTTTACACTATGAATGCAGCACTTTTACTGTTATTTATTTGTTTCTTAACAAATTTGTTATGACAGAATAACAATATGTTATATTTGATGGTAACTAAGTACCAATAAGATAAAAACAACTTTAAAAAATATGACATTAATTATTTTTCTGTTTGGGTCAAAAACATATTTTAATTTGCAATATTATATTTCCCATTTTGTTATCATCATAATATTATTATTTCAATTTTGTAATCAATTTGAAGAGAAAGCAGAAAGCATGAAGGAATAGAACAAGGGAAGATTCATTTTTGACATGGAAGCTGATGTTTCGCTTCTTTTTGCACTTTTTTCCAAACCCTAATTTTCAAATTTCCCAATTTCCTTTTCACACTTTCTGCTTTGTAGGATTTTCATCCCAAAATCTGTTCTTTCGTGCTTTTTGAATCTATTGCTTTAATGGGTACCTCGAATCTCTGCTTGTTTTTCTTCTCTCTGGTGAGTTTGTCTGCTATGGCGGCTGCTAAGGTGGTCCTGATTGGGAATAATATCACTCTCTCGTTCGATGATATTGAAGCTAATTTCTGTGAGTTTTATGGTTTTTGGTTTTGAAAAGCTTTAAATTTGGATACACTGTGGCTTGATTTTAGCTTGTTTGAATATGAATTTGGTTTTTGTTACTTGTGACTATTGAAAGTTTCTACTATGGTAGTGGCTTTGTTATGTTGAAAAGTCAAATCTTATATGATAAAGAAAAATATGAAAGAGTGAGAGAGAGAAAATGGTTTGAAATGATTCAGGAATATGTCAACCAAGAGTAGAAGCATGCAAAGTATGTACTTTGTTGTATGTACTTAAATTCTAGATTTTGTATTACTAAATTTGTGTTTCCTTTGTGAAAGAACAAAAAAGCCAAGAATGATACAAATTTGATCATTGATGTCATGTTGTTGTTCCGATGTTTTTGTTGAGTTTGATGGTGGTACATATCATGGTTTTATTGAGGTCGCGGTTGTGGTTGCGGGTGTTGCGATTGCGGTAATTGCTGTTGTTGAAATAATGTTAAGATTTTTCATTTAAGTTGAGTTTTGGAGTTCCGCAATTTTGAGTTTTGATGAAAATACTTGAAGAAACATAGGAGAAGTTGTCTGATGTAGTTTCTAATGTGGCCAATTGCCTGATTTTAAATCACACCCAATTGCGGTCCGATGCGGTTGTGGAGACTACTGCATCATCAATATTCTGGCTGCAATTGCAGTTGTGGACCACAGTTTAAAACCATGGTGGGGATTTTAAGCATGTAGTTGACATTCCAAAGAAAAACTATGGTTTTTTGTATTGCCTAAACTTGTGCTTTGATTGGGGAAAGGATGGTGAAAAAAGGATGTAAATTTGGTGTTGTGTTATTGTTCTAATATTATTGTATTGCATGTGAAGGTGCCAGGTGGTGCTGATGTTGATTTATATTTATTATTTTGTTAACGTGAATGGCTTTTGATTTCAGCTCCGTCAGTCAAAGGGTCTGGAGAATATGGAGCGTTATTCTTGGCTGAGCCGCTAGATGCATGTACAGAAATTACAAATGAAGCTAAACAATTTCCGAATGCTAGTTCACCTTTTCTTTTGATGATTAGAGGAGGGTGTAGCTTTGAGGACAAAGTTAGGATGGCACAAAAGGCTGGCTACAAAGCTGCAATAGTTTATGACAATGAAGATGGCGGCATCCTAGTTGCAAGTAATGACCAATTCTTTCACGTGGCAATATTTTGTTCTTTATCTTTCTCTTCAAATGTGTGATTGTCATTAAACTTATTTTTTGACACATCATGAAGGCTTATAGGAGTTTATGGCTCACTCACTGGTTGTGGCAAAATGTTTTTATTATAGACTAGAGATTTATTATCTTGAAATTGTTGCAGCTGTATATTTTACAGCGGTTATTTATTGGATATAACGTTATGGTGAAACTTGATCCTAATAGCCGACCTCACTTAGTGAGATAAGGCTTGGTTCTTGTTGTATGCTTATTATAACCCTAAAATGAAATTACAATGTCTTATTTACAAGTCGGCAATCAAGTTCGTTAATACAATGTCTCTTGGAAAGCATATATCAGGGTTGATGCTTTCGATGCAGTGCATATTGATTCAGTATTTTGAAATTCTTATCTGTTGAAACATTTGTACACTCAGTTGTATATAGCAAGCAAATAATGTCATTTGAAGTATCTTCTGAATTTTAACTGGGGATTCACTTTCATCTTCTGCACTTCCAAAATACAGTTTCAACTATAGGATCTTGCGTTGCTACTGCCTGAGTGTTTGAGTACTTCTCTGTTTACAGAATATGCTAAGCTGTAAGACTTTAAAATGGATTGGATATAGGATAAATGTTTTTCTCTATTAAAGGTGAATGGAAGTCTTGAACATGTAGTCAACTGTCGAATGCTTAAATTTATATACACCTCTCGAGACAACTGGAATAAAGAAAGGTTCTTTTGACGATGAGGTCTAGGTTTGTTGGGTGATACCTTTAAATTGAATGTTAAAGACATAATTGTCTATTTTTCTCCTCAGATGTGGTCTTCTTTATATTTGTTGAGATTGGGACGTTGGTAACTATCGAACAAAGTTCTAGAAAAACTTAGGGGTAACAATTAAAATAATTGACACTTGGCAATCATGTATATTCTGTTGTGAAAGAAATGATATGGACCATAATTTCTTGTTGGATTGATTTCTTTTTATATACCTGTATATACGTACACACTTTAGTCGTATTTTGATAATTACTGATTCACGGTTTTTGAATTTCAGTGGCAGGAAATGCTGCTGGTATAAGAATACATGCGGTATTTATATCAAAAGCTTCGGGTGAAATACTGAAGAAATATGCTGGTTTGACGAATGTGGAAACATGGCTCATTCCAACTTTTGAAAACTCAGCGTGGTCTATCATGGCGATTTCGTTTATTTCCCTGCTAGCTATGTCTGCAGTGCTGGCTACTTGTTTCTTCGTCCGCAGACATCGCATAAGAAGAGAAAGGCCTCGAACTTCTTCTCATGTTCGTGAGTTTCATGGTATGAGTAGTCGCCTAGTGAAAGCAATGCCAAGTTTGATCTTCACTTCTGCTTTGGAAGATAACTGTACATCTAGAACATGTGCTATCTGCCTTGAAGACTATTGCCCTGGAGAGAAACTCAGGATTCTGCCCTGTTGTCACAGTAAGTCTTCCCATGTTAAATTTATTTCCTTTTAAGATTCTGCCCTGCTGTGGCAACATGGTGTGAACTTCTAATGTAAATGCTAGTTACCATCTATGAAGCACTGACACCGGAAACACGACACTGGCACTGGCATGTTGACACTGCTAATAATTTGAAAAAATGAATAAATTAAACGTAATCACAAGTGCACTGTCGGTTTCGTACACAGACACATACACACATTTTTTCAGAGGTGTCGGTGCTACAGAGGTTACCATTACCTGGCAAATGACAATGTCATTGTCATGACTCACGAGACAGGTTATGGCTATTTCCCCAGGAGTTACAACCATACACTTTGGTTTATTGAAAACGAGTATACAGTAAATGTTCTAGAAATTTATTTTGAAATGGCAGTAGGGCATGATATGATTTATATTACTTGTTTGCCACAAACAGGTTTTCTGGCGGACCCACTGATTCTCAGTTCACTGTGGTATCTTCTGTATTGTCCTTTAACAATATGAGAGTTTAAATCTCAGTATCCTCACCCTTACCCCTCGATGAAACGAGGCCTTTATATTTCTTGTTTTTCTTTGATTTGTATTATGCTATACGCTTCCTGGCTATTTATCTGTTGTTTCAATGGAAGGTTAATCTATGTAGCCTGTTTCGGAGTTACTAACATATTGTGCTTATTAAATTTTGACTTTGCTATGAATTATTTTAATTCATTATTTTTCTTCTTTCTGGTGAATTATTGACAGAGTTTCATGCTACCTGTGTGGATTCTTGGCTGACTTCATGGAGAACCTTTTGCCCAGTTTGCAAACGAGATGCAAGAACGGGTTTGTCTGACCCACCACCTTCAGAATCCACACCTCTGCTGTTATCAACCCCATCATCTGTGGCGTCCTCTTTCATGTCATCATATGCTTCATCTTCAGCAATACAAATTGCTTCACATTCACAATCTGCTTCACGAAACCACTCTTTTGCTAGTACCCCTTTCATGCCCCCATCTCTAAGGTCCTACCGCCAATCCCCTTCTATTAGCGTCAGCCGTAGCTCTGTAGATCTTCGGAATGCATCCCAAAGATCTCTAGCTTCGCACATGAATTCACCGCGTTCCAATGGTTACCCATCTTTGTCGTCTCTTAACTCAAGATACCTGTCTTCACATGTTCCAAGTCCAAGCAACGGTTCAGTAAGTTACCTTGGTTCATCCAGTCATCAGCAGCATCCACTCCGTTATAGTGAGTCAGCCGCAAGCTTCTCACCATTTGTGTCTGCCAGCTCCCTCCCGGACTGTTAATTTGAATTAATCATATGAGAGATATCTGTGCAGTTGAACCGTGATTACCTAGTCACTGAACGTAAAAGTGGGCACATGATGATGACTGTCAGTCTATTTCCATATAAACGCTTCGGCATTCCCTACCTCTATGTCTCCTCTGGCAAACTATTTCCTTGTTGGCATCTGGTGTGTACATTGTAGCATCTTTGTGATGTTAGTTTTCTTAATTTTTCAGGTTGGTGAGGTTGAGTATAGTAGTCACCAATGTTTGGTTTGTGCTTTGAATATTGATGTTTTTATAGCCTTGATTTTCAAAGTATAGTTAACTGCTGCTAACAAGAGAAATGTTGGAGTGTATAGACAGATTGAAGTCAGAAGAGTTGTTTGTATTTTGTCTAATGTGTTTGTCCAATTGAATGATGAGATTATGTGATACTCTTGGAGTTACCTATACCTTATCATCTACCTGCAACACTCAGTGTCAATAATACGTGTACAAATTTTCGGTGGGATTTTAACATATTTACTGACCAATTTCATTAAAACCGTAGCGCTGCATTGGGACATGTAGGAATCTCCCCTCGTAGAACTTTTCTGTGTCCTGGGAAAATTCATTCTAAGAGGGTCACTAGAAATCTCTACATATCATTCTTGATGATTCTAAAGGTTATTGGAAGTGGAAGTTACCTCTTACAACAACTGTTCAATTCTTTATGTGGCATGTATGTCATAACTCTCTTCCCACTATGTTAGTCTACAACTTAGGGTGTGTTTATTTCAAAGATTGAAATCGTATTTTCAGAAATCTTACATTGAAAAAGTAATAAATTCACGTTTGTTTCAAGTTTTTAAAAATTATTCATAGAATTATTTATTTCAAAAAACATTTTTACACATAATTTTTGCTTAAATTGTTTTCATGTTTAATGGATGGGAATTCAACATTCTTATGAGAATAAAATTTAACTAATTACAATTTCCAATTATTACTCGCATTTATTTTTATTTTTATTTTTATAATTTTTAAATTAAATAAATATTATAAATATTTCTAAAAATTTTAGTTTTTAACCAAATACTTACATATGAATATTATTCTTAGGAATAATAATCTTGGGGATAGAATTCCAAAGAATACTATTTTAAAACTTAAAACAAACGCACTCTTAGAGATGGTAATCTCTCTTTTACATGTCTTTATTGTATTGGAAATATCAAAATTATTATTTACAATGTTGTGAAAAATTGATAGAATAATTTAAAACACTTCGTAGAATTATTCAGAGTTCAAAAGCATAAAGAAATATGATGTATGAGGACAAAGAATAATGACAAATAAAATAAATGACTTCAAACAACCAAAATAGCTTACAATTAATGATAGCAAATTTACATCAAGCAAGAGGAAGATATACAAGAACACAACAAAACTTGTTTATCCAATTCGATCAAATTGATCTATTATATGGGAGAGAACAACTCTTCGATGCACTATACTTTCAAGAATTAATAAAAGAGATTACAAAAGGGTTATAAGAAAATAGTAAATCAAGTTTTCAAAAACAAATCTTATTTTCTATCGAAATGTTTTCCAATTTCTCAAACTCTTTACATATGAATCACACAAGCCCAAAGTTTTTAGAAATTGTTATTTTTCTGAAATTATGATTGACATACATTTTGGTTAAACCAACTTGACAACAACATGTTAACAAGATGTTCGAACTTGCAGTTTTCAACATGTCGAATAAGATGTTCTAACCAGGATGATATGGCATCGTGTCTGCAGTAACTGACAATTATGGTTCAGCTGATATGTTAGTTACTGAATATTCAGGGAATATTTAGTTAACTTATGCGGCGTCAAATATTGACAAATTAGAGATTCTATATTAATTTTCGAAGATATGTAATGTAACACCCCATTTCTATCCGGCAGATAATAAGAAAATCAGAGTTCAACATAAATAGGATACTACATTTTCAACTAAAAATCAATCTTCATTTAATCGCATACAAACAGATACATAACCCTTAACTCAGATGAACCGATAACAATCTGATTTATTCTTTAACATCAAACAACTTTTCTATTAATAAGCAGTGGAATCACATACTCAGCTTTAATTCATTCACATCTTTCATTCAACTAAAACAACTTCAAGACAACAATTAATTCATGAAATCAATTTAAAAATTCAGCAACTGAAATAATAATCAACAACTAAACATCAAGCGTTCACCCCCTGAGTGCTACGTATCAGAGCGACCAACCGACTCAAACTAACGAGGTAATAACTATCCTTCTTGATTACCTGCACGTTACCAACAGAGGGCAACATTCAAATAGAAGGGGTGATATATCAACCAATATAAACACGTGTATGATAAACAATAAATTAGGTTAGATCATACAAATATCACCATTTTATAACAACAATTATGCAACAACCAACAAACATCTTAATAACAACGACAAGGCACTTTAATCAATCAACATAACAACTTAATAACAACAACAACTTTAACACACAACTCAAGATGCGACTCAACTATGCAACTCAACATAATACATATGCATGTGCTACCATTGGAGCAGAACTCCCATCTTAAAAATCTGCCAATAAATAGAAGCATCAACAAGGCATAAGCCTTCATCTTAATATTCGCCAATACATGCCATCTTAACGAGCACCAGCTCCATCTTAATATGCAATGTATGCGACACAATCATGAATGTAGTAACAACAACCATAATTAACAACATCTCAACACAACATCATCGTTGGCCAGAAGCCTACATCTTAATAACTGCCAAATATTAGAGGCATCTCAACATCATTCATCAACATAATTCATCAACATGATTCATCAACATAATTCATCAACGTAATTCATCAACATAATTCATCAACATAATTCATCAACATAATTCATCAACGTAATTCATCAACATAATTCCACAACAACTCATCCATAACAACAATACAACGATAGATCGACAACCCTCAACGTTGGCCATAGGCCTACAATATGATAATGTCTATAATTAATTAATTATTCTAAGGCTTATCTCTAATTACCAAACCTCTACATATTATCCTACTGCAATACTACCTTATTATTATTATAAATCTTACTGTTATGAACAAAGCATTAATCTACAATCGTCTTATCCTCATCATACTTCAAGAAATCATCTTAGTGATTAACGCGGGAAGCTAACTCTATCCTAATTTAGGTACTAGGATTTTTCTTCTTATCCTTTGTTTTAATCCTTAAGAATGAAGTTTATCGCGTTAGCTATCCAACACTTCAAACGACACCTCAAACGGAGTCCGGAAACTCAAGTTACAACCTTTGGAAAAATCTGTCAAAAATTAGACTTCATGAGTCGATGCATACTGCTTTGAGTCGACGCGTACTGGATTAAAATACTGCATGAGTCGACGCATAATCCTCTTGTGTCGATTCATACTGAGTCTGAAACACTGCATGTATCGACGCATGATCCTATGTATCGACTCATCCTGAGTCTTAAATCCTGCATGTGTCGATGCATGGCCTTTGAGGTCGACTCATACTGATCTGCAATGAATTTATTCTGCGATTTCACTGTGTTTTCACTGCAATTTCCCTGCCTTAGACCCTAAAAACATCCTCTAATCATAGGTAATCATCAATAATAATCCTATGTTTCTACATCAATTATACAACATTAAGACATCCTTATTCATCTCTAAATCATTAATCCTCATCAAATAACTATATATATATATATATATATATATATATATATATATATATATATATATATATATATATATATATATATATATATTTCAATCATAAACAAAACAACTTTTCAAATCCAATCCCACATACAGTTTATCATATACCCAGTTATAGAGATTAAACTCCACCCTTACCCGGTTTGGGTTGAAGGTAACTCTAAGGGTCTCCGATTGAATCTCCTCTTGGCCGCTTGGTGTAACTTCCACGTATCCTTCTTCTTCTCCTCAAAACCCTTATTTTTCTCTTCTCTGCAACTTCTCGTGTACCAAAACCTTCCAAGATTTTTTTCTCTCTAGATCAGAATGAAAGCTGAAAATTTTCCCAAATATGCAGCTACAGTGCGATGATGATATCTCCCAACTCATACCTTATTTTGAAGATCCCAACGGTCAAAATTTATATGTAGGTGTTGCGAACCTATCCTCAACATTTGAGCATGATCTAATGGTTAACGAATCGAGGATTGCCGATTTAGTGAAACTGCTGCAATAAAAACGGGAATGAGTTTCTCCCATCTATTCTCTCACTTTTTCTCAATTAACCTAATTCCTTTTATATTCACTTAACCTTGTAATTCTAGTAATTCTTATTGGACCAATAATCACACTCCCATATTTACTACATGACATCACTTAAATAAGCCCAACAATTAATCTTATAATGCTCCAATATATTTAATATTGTTAAACCATCATTTAATCAAATAATGTCACGGAGCGACTTAACAATAATTTACAACATTGCTCAACTCCAACTAATAATTTTAGTTAAATAATTAATTATATTATCGGGGTGTTACATGTAAAGTTTCTAAATATGGACATATTTTTAGAAAACTAATGATTGAAGACCTATTTTCTTGGAGAAAATTTTGCAGACTTTGTACAACCTCACTACTGCGATTTTGAAGCCCAACCCAGTCCAGAATAATTTTATATGTAACTCGTGTATACCTATTTTTAGGTGGAACTTATGTGTGTATTTTGTTAGGATTTTTAGAATCTTCATTGTTGGGTTGTAAGTTCTGTCAAGCATCCATAAGCTTTTAAGTATTGCATGTTTGTGTGTCAGATGCTCCTAAGCTTTTAAGTATTAAGTATTTGTGTGTCAGTTATCATAAACTTTTAAGCATTGAGGATTGTGTGTCTTGGAATAGTGACTTCCTGTTTTTTGTTCTCTACTGTGTTTAGAGTTGCTCCAATCGCTGAGTGTGATTAAAGAGG